TGAACTTGCACATATTAATTACAAGAAGCCTCTGTCAATTTCAAGGACCGATCTCCGATCAAAATTGCATCATGTTATTTTTCTAAATATCATAATGGTCGCAAATCACTTGGACAAATAGGTAGTTTAAAATAGGGGTGGGCACAGGCCGCGCTGGGCCCAATTTTGAAAGGATCGGACCGGACCCTGATGCAAAGAAGACGGGCCGGGGATAGCACATTAAAACGGGCCGGTTCGGCCCGGGTCCACGGGTCCTTGGTTTTTTTTTTTTTTTTTTTTTTGGTTTTATATACATATATATATATAATAAAATTAAGTTAAAAAAAAAAACTAACAATTGCACAAATTCATTGAATCCCAACCCCTCAACTCGTCCGGATCAACCCACTCATGCCGTCACCGTCCTCTTCCTTGACCCTGAATCCCTCAAGCCCCTGGAGTCCCAATCTCAGGAATCCCGACCCCTTAACTCCTCTAGCCTGTGCCCAGCCCTAAATTAACCCATTCACACTCTACTTCTACCCAGTCTGCTCTCCTTGACTGCCTCCCTCCCACGCACAGACGCTGAGTTGAAAATTCAGTTGCAGAAAATCAAGGTTCAGCCACGGAGCAACAAAACCCGATCTCTTCGCTCACCCGGACCCGATCGTAGGGAGGTGAGAAACGGAGGAGGAACAGTCCACAGGTGCTGATGGTGCTTGCCAGAGTATGCGCCACGGTGGTAGAGGTTGCGGTGGTGAATGGGTGTCTATGCTCCGGGAAGGAGAATTGCAGAGATAGAGGTAGAAGAAACAAGGAGAGGAATGAGGGAGAAGTGAGAAGGGAGAAGGTTCGAGAGATTGGGGGTTTGGGGAAACACGCCGGGGGGGGGGGTGGTGTTTGTGTGTGAGATGAAAATATGAAAATCAACGGTGGATAGTGAGATTTGACAAACATGAAACCCTACGCAATTTTCTCAAGCTAGAAACAGGCCGGGCCGGGTGCTCACTCCTTCCTATTTTTGAACCCGCCCCGCCCCGCCAATTTTGGTTACCCACCCCGCCCCGCCCCGTTTTGTGTTTTGAAAATTTGTACCCGCCCCGTACCCACCCCGAACCGCTAATACCCGCCCCTACCTGCGGGCCCAGGACCCGTTTGCCCACCCCTAGTTTAAACATGTGATAACAATTCAAAACTTGCATGCATATTATCATAAGTAAATTGAAAAGAAACTACATATTCTTGCTAAGGGTTGTTTCCTCACCCTAGCAAAAAGGGAATTAGTTACGCATATTCATAACTAATATCAACATAAATTATATTGAAATAATAAAAGATCGAAAACACCTTGAATGTAAAATTTGAAAATCTCTACGGTTGGCCAATTTCCTGTCTCAAAATCACACGGACAAGAAGAAGTTAAAGTTGGGGCCGGCCAAGCTTTTTTGACCTACTAAATTAAATCGTCCTAGGCTCCTAATAAAAGGCCTTCCAATCGAACTAGGAACCAAATAAATAAAATAAAATAGGAAACATAACCCTAAATTAAATAGCGAAATTCGTCTAAAATCTGCACAGCCACGTTTTGGACCCATATCTGCTCCAAAACCGGCCCAAAATAGCTAGATTTAAAGTTTACAATATTCTGAACACTTTCCCAGAAGGCCACGAACCCATCAAAGGTCTTCTAGGGCTCCAAAAATCACAATTAAGCCTAGAAACGTCACTTTCCAACATTGCGCATTGGTTCTTTATTCCATCTTCAGAAAATAACCATTTGGTAGAAAAATCCCAAATTTTGTCACGAACACGCCAAGAGATACACAAACGTCCTCCAATTTGAATTACTCCAAATTTGTCCGTTTGATCATGTTTTGATCCAAAGGAAGGCAAATGTCGTATATTGAAAATATAAAACAAAGTATCAAATTTCTACCAAAATAATTACTAAAACATACTAAGAATAGGGTAAAATATATAATATGAAATTGACTCATCAAGTAAAATCATAGTTTGAAAGACATTCACAATTTCTTCCAAAACCTTTTCAAAATTATATACTATAATATAAAAGTACAGGTTGCGCTCATATATGACTTTCCTCTAAATACTTGCTTAGTTTATCAACCTAATCACTATTATTCCACTGCACTTTTAAATTGTGATCCACCACTCACCTTTTATTGTTTTCCTGAATTATCACGAGGGTCCAATTGCCACTTATTTTGTATTACCTAACCACCATACACCTCAGTAAATGTGTATCTCTCCAATGATTCTCACCACACGTCTTTCAAGATAATAATCAGTCATCTCACAATCCAAAGTTGTGTATAAATGACACCATCAATGATGCATCCACGTGTAGGAATAAGATCGGCCTCTTCGTTATTGCATTTTTTGTATTAAGTAGGAATGTGTCACATCCGAATTTGTTCTCTTCTTAATAACACTATCAAGTAAATCGCTTGATCTGATTTCATCGTCTCTTTCTAAATTGAGCCACAAATGCCTTCAATTTCTTCTTTTGAAATAAGTGATAAAATATTAGGACTATAGATAGACACAATTCGGCTGTAGCCTACAATAGGTAACCAAATAGGATGTAACCCCCAATGCACATTAACTAAGCAAAAACATTCCTAAGAACATTGGTAGGCAGTGATCACCCATCACGGATTAACCAAATATGATCACCCCTCAAGTACATATAGCCATACCTAACTTCTGTAGAGAATGACGGTTGCCCTTCGTGGATTAACCAAGCATAACCAACAAAATCGATGGTCTCTGGTACGTAAGGAAACTCATGATTGGTACACGCATCACCACGCATGGTGGCAACCGTGGTGGAGGTTTTAAGAAACCAAAATTTCCAACTTTAACAATAATGGCTCAAATTCACTAGGTAGCTAGACCTCGATTAGTGGTACAACTTTCATAACTAGCCCGACGACCAATTCTAGCCGGAAGCCAACCAAAATAATCGGCAAAAAATGGATATCTAGGTTTCTAAACACCCGACTTGAAAACCACTACTAATGTAGGAAGAAACCATACCAACTTAAAGATCCTAAGGAGTAGATGAAGACTCATATCTCATTTGACATAAATGGTTGCTAGAATTAATGAAAAAGGAGAAAATTGCTAGAAAATACTTGGGGCTTTGCAGCTTCAATTTGGAAATATAGAAATCTAACACCACTAGGAAGTTGGTCTCGTCGATAACTTTTTATAGACACCAACATCACCCCAAACAGACGTTAGGTGGAGGAGAAACGACCAAGACCAGGTCATTTACAGTGGGTCACCAAAAAGGGGTTTGAACAGAAGCTTTCCCATTTTGAAAACTTTATTGAATTGAAACTTTTTATGTTGAACATGATCAGAAGCGCTTTTAGTAATCTAAATGTGCTTCTACTTATTTAGAAAGCGCTCCCAAATAGGGTCAGATACTCACCCAGTGTTTTGTGATCTTTGATCTTGTGGAGGTTTTTAAGTATCCAAAAGAAGCCCACAATGTGAATGGCATTGGGTTTTAACAATGTGTAACTCCAATACACAGTGTGGCATTAACTAGTGGAAATGACGTGGTTACACTTTGAACCGCAGGGAGAAAATGGTACAATTGTGGTGTTAATCAGCATTGTGAATCAAGGAACCAGAAGCTTCTAATAACTGTTTCCATTGCCATTTCCTCCTAGCCCTACACCCACTGGGGATAGAGCAACTAGACTTGGTAATTTTTTACATGACTCATTAACACGATACGTAGATGACATGAAAATAATAAATTTCGGTCAACACGATAACTAATCGGATCGTTATTGGGTCACATAATAACAACCCGTTATTAATGGGTTCTTAAGAGATTTACACGATGGTGACTTGTGGATAACTTGTTTCAACATGATAAGAGAAAGGTTATTCTGATGATTTTAATTTTTTTAACTATAAAAAAACTTACTTTAAAATACAATAGATATAGTGGATATGCATATACTATTTATTATTATTATTGTACTATTATTCTATATAAATTTTTAAAATGTAAGTTTTATTTATTTATTTATTTTTATAGTATACTATAGGCAAACACATTAAAACAAAAATATCAAGTAAATTAAAAATACCAAACACATTAAAAAAAATCATAATAATTAATTTACAAGTGCAAATTTAGTAATTAATTTTTTATATGTTTTGAAGTAATATTTATGTGATAATGTGGTATGTATATACTAATTTAGTATTATGTTTTACATTTTTTTGGGTCAATTATGTTTTTTATTTTCATTATTTATTGATTTAAATATATTTTTCTTAACAGATAACGGATCAGATCATAATTGGGTATGACACGAAAACGACACTAACGCAAGAAACACGACATGAATAACATATCTAACAGCAACTAGAAGTTTTAACTTGCAACCGTGGCTGATGATGAATATCGGTGTTTTCGTGAGCACTTCGCGTGTTTAACATCGGATTAGTCTCGTAGTTTTTTTTAATAAAATTGGTTTTGACCAACTGGTTTTTTTTTTTTTTTCCCCGCTATTAGTAAGTGTGAATTTTGCAATCTCATTGTATGAATTTTTCTCCACATCATGTATAATTTCCATCTTACATTATGTTTTGACGAGGAAAATAAACTTAAAATTTGGACAAAAGTCAAAATTTATAAATTGACATACACCGATTTTTTTGTTTGGATTCATAAAACATAGAAATTTAGAATTTACATGTGAAAAAATAAAACTTAGAATTTGAGATCTCTGATTTCCAAGTTTAAATTTCATATAAATAGATATCATTTCACAATTTCTATGAATCAGAGTTTAAAAATAACAAATTCTGTGTTCAAATTCCATTGTTCTTTTAGGTTAACCAAACAAGAAAATTCACAGATTCTAAAAATACAATTCCATCATTTCAATTTCCGTTGTTTTAAAATTCCTTATTAATTTTAAATTTCCTCATCCAAACAGAATCAAGGCACTTTTCATTCGAAAATACAATTATAGCCTTAACCCCCAATTCTTTTCCTCAAGGGACTTTTCATCCAAAAATACAATTTCATTCGAAAATACAACTATACCTCAACCCTAAACCCTTTTCATTCAAAACCTTCATCTCTTCACATTTGACACGTAATATTAATCTGACCACCTCTAAATTCGTAAATATTCTAAGCTATCTCCAGTTGTATATCCCCTTGTATCTTTCCTTCATCGCGTCACATTTTGTCATGTTAGAGAGACAAGGGATTATAATCCGTTACAAGACAGATTCTCTCGTGAAAGCTGCAACATGCTGATAGAGCAACCAAAAAAATTAAAATCTCACTCCTCAACTAAAAGAATAAATTGAAGATATCAGCACCAAACAAGTAAGTTTCAACAGCCAGGTCCACCAACACCATGTGCAATTAGATTGCTTGTCTTAATTTCTTACCTCCTTTGATGCTGATAGGTTGCTTGCTTCTCAGAAAATGCCCCGAACATAAACCACATCCTCAGAAGAATGAAGCAACTAGTCCATTTGAAGCGAATAGAAAGTCGCCACTTGGTGGTTATCTACACAAGCGTATCCTCAACCAGATTGAGTTTTTAGGGGGATGAACATTCCATGAACCCAGAGGAGTTGATGTTGGATCAGGTTTAAGGTGTGGAGGCTATTAGGACAGACAGATGAGACAGCCTAGCAGGACATATCTACTTCCAACATCTCAAAGAGGAAAAATTCTAAGGCATATTTTTGAAATCCATGTTTGATCTAGATAGCATTGGAGCTCTGAAATGCTAATTTTGTCATGTCTTCACTACCTGAAAAATTCTACGGTTACATTTTTTACCAAATACTAATGGTTAAAAAGCTCGGAGTATCTGATACTCTGGAGCATCATAGAAAGTCTCGCCCATAGGAATTATTCACTTCTTAGCTAAAACTTGTGGGAGAGTGAAATATCTTTGATGTTCTCATCTGAAGAATGTTCCTGGAATTCCATGAATTCAACTACTTGTTGATTTCAGGAAATCCAATCACTTAACATCTCCCTTAGTTAGAGAAAGATGATCCCAAGTCAAAAAGTAAAAAATCCTTCACCTAACTAGCCAAGTCAAACAAGCAAACTAATTCTACACAAGAAACCAATCAGATGTTTTTCTGATCTAATAGTTTTCCAATCCCAATTGGTTCTAATAAGAAATAAATTTTAGAAGAATAAAGATAATAATATCAAACGCCTAAAGATAGGTTGACGGTGACTCTGATATCGTTAACAAAGCATTATTGTTGCAATAATTTAGCAAAATTAAGTCTTGATTGCACATAATTACTCACATCAGATAAGTTACAATCAGAAGTCAGAACCCTTAGAAAATATAGTTCCAACTAATTAGATGTTGATACGCTACAGTATTTGGAGGGGAGGGGATGTTTCGAACCCAGGATGCAGTAGTCGCAAGGCCGCGACCTTATAGTTCCACCTAATTATAATCCTCAACAATCAATAGACACGCCCTATTCTTATTTTTTCTAGTCCTACAACACAAGCACTTCATTTTTGTGCAGAATTACTCCACTTCAAACCGTTGCATCAACGAAACACCAAATTGAAAACAAACAAGCTAAGCAATGCGCAAAAAACACATAAAATTCTTGCAAAAGAGAATCAGCTAAAATTTCATATTGATAGAGGGGTAAAATAACCAAGAACGTGTTTTACAAATTGGATTCGGAGGAGAAATTTTCCCTCCATCAAAATACATGCATGGATTCAATTCAAAAGGCAGCATATCATATACAGTTACACGAAAGGGTCAAGTGAAAGAGAAACACTTACATATTCCTCCCCATCACCAACAATTTAAAGCACAGAAAAGCAGAAAAAAGAGCTCAAACCTTTTCCCCTCCCCCCTCCCCCCACCATCCTATACACTCCAATTCCACTTAACATTTGATCCAAATCCTCCTCCTTTTTCATTTCACAAATAAAAAACAATAATAAAAACAAAATCAATCAAGTAAGAAAGAAAAAAGATGAAAAAATCGTACCCGAATTTCTGTGGCAGTCAAAATGAATGGTTCTTTTTTGTTTTTGTGGTTTCGATTCAAATCTTTATTTTCTTTCTCTGTCAATGAGTTGTAACTTTGGACCTTTTCTTGGCCTCGCTGTAAAGCACCACCCCCATGATAGTCACCGCGAACCCAGTCATTCCCATAGCCGTGACCGGATTCCGGAATATCAACACCGATACAACCGCCGCCGCCGCCGCCTTGGCATTGCCGAGAACCTGTAGTGTGAGCGCGCTGGTGTGCTTGGTCACCAAGAAATTAGTCAAGTTAACCAAATACGCCACCGTGGCATTGCCGACCAACAAAAAAACAATGAAGGGGTCGGTTCTCGCTTTCCCCACCGTCTTGGCCGCCACGTTGCCCTCGATATAGAGAGTGAAGGGAAGGAGAATGCAGGCCGCCATTGGAGCCATGTAGAGAAGCAAGTTCATGGAGTGGAGCTTCTCAGAATCCGAGGTGAGTAAAATCCCCTGCATCACCGATTTTAATGCCCGGCCGGCTGTGGAACCCACGCAGACCAAAAAACCGAACAGATGAAACAACGGCTCGCTGTTGCTGGCCAACACGATCCCGAAAACGACGGGGAGGAGGGCGCCGTAGACCTCGGCAGACTCCTTTTTACACGTGATGACGAACGCGAAGATGGCGGTGAAAAAGGGGGTGGTGGCGCCGATGGCCTGGTTGAAGGAGACAGGAAGGTAGCGGAGGGAGGTATTCCCGCAGACGACGGAGAGGCAGAAGATGGCGGAGAGTGCGAAGATCTTGAAAAACTGGCGGCGGGAAAGGATGTACTGACGTGGCACGAGCTCGAGGAGGTGGATAGCGACATAGCTGTAGGTGGCGCAGGAGATCATGTGGAGCATTGTAAGGAAGATCGGGTAGCGGAAGCCGTAGAAGCTGAGGAGGTACTTGTTGAGGAGGAGGACGCCGATGTTCGACAGGTACCAGGATGCAACAATCGCCGCCGTCGATATTGTCGGGGGAGGAGGGATCCGACGGCGGAGGAGAATCCGTAGCTCGTCCCATTGCGGACGTCGCCAGGGGGAGTGGCCGGAATGTCGATCACCTGGTCGGGCGACGTCGTGTCCTGCAGCCGCGGGTTGCTCATACGACGCGTCGTCCATGTCTGTGCCTCCACCATCGGAGGCAAAATGGGAATAAAATAATTCAAACACCCCCAACAGCCGGAACACTCTCTCTCTCTCTCTCTTCTCTCTCTCTCTCTCTGCGATCCGAACAAGTGAGATGAGACCGAGGATAAGGATTGACGATTGACGGCTTAGGGGGTTTTGGTATTTTGGTCTGTGTGATCGACGGTGGAAATTTAGATTTGGGAGGAGGGAGGGCTGGTAGCCGTTGGATTAGGATTAGGGGTATTAAGATTAAGATTCCTTGGAAGCGAAGGGAGTTAACAGTGTCGGTGTTTATCGTTGGTTGTACTGTGATTTTCTGGTCGCGGGAGACTCCGCGGATCTGTCCGCGGCTTTAACATTTTACTTTATCTGCAAAAATTAACACAAAGTGCGTGGGAGCAGTCTGCTGCTTGAGAACTCCCCAGCCAATCACAATGAAATTATTGGTTTCGGAATGAATCTTAGGAATTTAATTAGCGGGTTTTAAAATCGTATAAAATAGGTAGATAGTCATAAATATACATACATGTTGGAATCCAAATCACGCATATTTGCAAACGGAGCAAAATTCAATCACAATCTCTTATGAATTTTGGCGAAAGGAGGATGGGGTTTATTGGGGTCTGATTAAATTCATATTGGACTGCCTACGTATTTCTAAGGAATGAGAATCAAATCACTGGTGTCGTTTTGTTTGGGTCTGATACACTGGGTTTGGGCCGAGGAGAGATAACTCGGTTTGAAAGATTGTGATTCTTAGCCCAATGGCGATTTCTTAGTCTAGGTGTTTTTGTTCACAAAAATATAATTACTCTTAAAGGAACAGATCTAGTCCCAACTCGGTCGAGTTTTGATTGAATTAAAATTGTTAAGGATCAAATCAAGTTTTGATAAGATTCGAATTATTCAAAAATCAAAATGTGTGACTAATCATATAAGAAGCGAATCAAATGCATAAGAGGACTAGGTTTAGAGTTCTAGTTCAAGTCAAAAAGGTTGAAGGTTTGATAGAGATTGAGTTTCACCAATGGAGGGTATGATGAGATAATGTCAAGAATATCCAAATGTGTGTTGAGGGGTCATAGTCCGATTTGGACTCTACTTTGGCAGATTTGGTCATCCCAAAATTCACCTATATAACTACAAGATGCTTTGCAACAGGAAAGTGACCTTCAACTCAACAAACAAACAAATGCTATGCACAAAACCTCGCTCTACGTGAACCCTTCACACACTTTTGAGAAACTACTAATTACCCTAACCCTTCCATCAACACATCTTCAGTTTCAAGTTCGGATGGTTACCTATCCAAGTCTCTGCCAGCAGGGAGTCCTTGATTCTCAAGTTGAATGAGGTCATTTCATTAGCTTTCTCGGCGAAGTGAGGTGTTACTTAGTGTTCGGCATATTGAACCCAAGGGAGAGTTGTGTTTCTTCCTCAGCCGTGACTGCTCGAGTACAGAAGTCAGTACCGCATTCAACATTATTGTGGAGCCAAAAATAATCAAGAAAATTATGGAGGTAACACGTGGACTTTTGGGTAAAAAAGATAAAATTACCCTCGAGGCACACCGGGATTCCCACGCACAAGCAACCGACAATAATGGCTCAATCGAGGAAGAGTCAAAGGTGTTCAACATGGTATTTATTCAAAACCCTATCATCACTCCTCATCAAATCCCCACTCAAAAGGTAACTTCCAATTTTCCTATTCTAATTGGGATTAATTACGAAATTAATTGCAAGATATTATTTGACATAATATCTTGCAATTATATTAAAAAAACCACCATAAGTGGCCAGTCCCTATTTCTCCAAATAGGGCTAGCTACACCCCTATATATAGTCATAGTTTTTCTCCAAAAAGCTGAGTTCATTCTCTCCCTAAAAATCCCTAAACACTTTCTCTCTAAAATTCTAACTTTGGCATCGAAGATTCTTCTGCCAATGCCCCCCCCCCCCAATTCATCGTGGGCGCACTAGGCTCTTGGCCTTAATCTTAGGTGTTATTATTTTGTAGGTGCATTTTCGTCAAAGGAGAAGAAGGCGGAAATTTGCATCCATAAATTGGTGCTTTCATTGAGAGTTTGATTCACACTCTTGAAGAAAACTCTCGCATCCAAGGTTTTCCATTGTTTTGTTCATTTGTAGATTTTTCGTTTGTTCTTAATCCTAGAATTTTTTTATAAAAATTCTTTGAATAAACGTAAAAGAAAAGTAAAATGACAAGAAATTCAGAACCACGACAAACAGAACAAACTACGTTCAAGTATTTGGACCACAGCGATCCACGAGGCTCAACGCAATAACGAGCGGAGTGGCACCACCCCCACGGGGCACCACTGTAAAACCCCTCCCCAAATTTCTTGGGAATTTTACATTTCCCCTAAAGGTTTACACCTTTTAACATTTTGGTCCCCTTATCCTTAACCAATCCGGATCCCTTTTAGATTTTCTCTCCTCTCTTTAGCTACCATGCAGCAGTTCCTTAACCTTTTCCCTTCTTCTCTCTTTCCCCCACCTCGAGACTCTCTCTCTGAGCTCTCTATTTCTAACTCCCGAACCTCTTTCCTTTTCCCTTTCCTGATCGACGCAGCACCACCCTTACACCCAGAGACACCTGACGACATTACAACAGCACCACCACCCTCTCGAACTTTCTCTCCTCTTCCTCCATCTTTGTGGAACCCCAGGACACCCAAAAGGCACCCAAAACCTAACTCCGACGAACCATGGGTGTGCAAGCCCAAATCCAGCCACCTCCGATTTTTTCTCAACAAAACAAAGGTAACAAAGCTCTTTACCTCTCTAGTATCTTCATGTTCATAAGTAGATCGGAAGGTAGATCAGGGAAATAGCATCGACCGGAGCTTGGAAGGCTTCGGCTTTATTCCCTGATGAGGAAAGGGCCTTCAAGCCCAAACCAATGAGACTAGGCCTTCGGGCCATGACCAACATCAGGCATTTGGCCCGCTAAATCCCCAAACCCAACCCTTTTTATATTTGTTTTATTTATTTTCTAAAACCAAACCTTAAGGTCGTGTAGATATAGGGCTTTTGAGCCGTTGCTTTTAAGCCCAACCTGGTGAAACCCTTTTTAAAACCCTAAGACCTAAGGCCTTCGAGCCGTATAGAACTTGGGCCTTTGGCCCGTGGAACTTAAGCCTAGCCTATCACCCTATTGGATCCAGGCCTTTGGGCCATGGATTCGATCCACTAACCCTAGGCCCAACCCGAACCAAACTCAGGCCTGTTGGCCCGGTTTGTCCCGACCTGGACCTATTGACCGTTGACTTTTTGGGTTTCTAGGCTAATTTCAACGTTCTGGACTCGTTTATGATGTCCGTTTTCCCAAATTCAATTGTTTGAATAGAGCTTTATTAATTGTACCTTTTACGTGCTTAGGTGCATATATTGTGGCGATTCCATCTTCGCTACTTTGCGTGGCTCTTCTGCGGTAAAGTATCTATGAGTGGACCCCTTATAAAATGCATGTTTTAATAGTAGAAATGCATACATGAAAAACATGATTTAATGATCACGTTTCAAATAATGTTTTATGAGTAAATTGGATTTACCTTATATGATTATCATGCTTACTTAGAATATTTTGGAATACCATATTTTGTATCGAACCCATGTTCTTTCTAGGGTATTTGATGGATGACTATATACTATTTAGAACATGTTTTTGCACACTTTTTTATTGTATAGATGATGAATGACTTTATACTATGAAGATGTTTTTGAGATATATATACCTATGTTTGGAAAGACAATATTCAATATTTTGTGTGCATCTAGTGGTCATTGTTCTGCCTCTGGGCAAAGATATTATATTGGCCTTTGGGTCGGGTGATGTAAGGGTCTTTAGGTCGATTGAAGATATTATATTGACCTTCGGGTTGGGTGTTGCAGGGGCCTCTGGGTTGATTGAAAAATATTATATTAGCCTTCGGGTCGATTGAAAATTCAAGGCTTTCGAGTCTGGTGATGTAGGAGCTTTCAGGATCTTTGAGTCATCTCGGTGTAGGTTCTTTATTCTTTCAACTTAATATTATCTCTTTCTAATGTATAGAATTAGTTGTATGCTCTGAACACATTCCTCAATTGCATGTTAACTCGTTATATTTAAATTTATAAGTCTTATTTATTTCCTGTTCTTAGCATTTGCACTCAATAAGTGGCTTTCGTCACCCTCAGGTGTCGGTTAGCACGTGACCATTTCGATGTCCCACAGATATCGGGATTAAGGTGTGTCAACCACCATAGTAGCAACCTTGATAGCGACCCTCGACGAGCCCACTGCCCTCGGTGAGTAGGCCACCTCGCAACAGTAGGCCCAAGCCAGTGCCACAAGGCAGCCAGTCCAGATTCAATAGGCCTAAACAGCTGTGGTAATTAAAGCAGCCTACACCTCGAGGGTCCAAGGCCAACGCAAGCCTAGTGCACCCCAAGGCCAAGCCGTGTTACTCCAACCCACATAGGCCCAAACCCAAGACGAGCCGGCCTGAGCCGGGACTCGGCGCGACCCTAATGTGCTTCCGAGCTGAGCCTTGGCCAGCACCCACATGCACTATATGCAGAGCAGCGTACTCCCATGGCCTTCCAATGAACCCAAATCTCTCGCTCGAAGTCCATTACACTTTTAGCACCTATAAAGAAACCTACCATCCAATCTCTTCCATCTTGCATAGCGAACAACACTTGTCCAGACAAGTCATGGAGTTGACAAGTGCCTTCGCCTAACAGATGACCTTGGTGAATCAACTTTTGCAACATACCTAGATGTAACGTGCCTCAGACAAAGTGTCCCGAAGCAGGACAAGGGCAGATGACGAACCTCTCCAGCAGTGCCCCGGCAAGCAACCGCTCAACCAGCCACTATCTAAATGTTCTGGTCATTTACACTTTTGCTTGGGTCCTCGGAATAGCATATAATCTTATCTTAGTGTGTGAAAGAGCATGTACTCCCGATCAAGCCCACAGACAGCTATACGTTCACAATTGAGGCCATACTCTGATTATCAACCTAGATAATCTTCCAGACAGACTGTTTATTCACAACTAGGCTCACAAAGAGCATTCTTCACCTCACATATGAGTAAGCAGCATGGCGAACGAAAAAAAGTAGTCACTTAATCTGACTCAAGTTCAACCGGCAGCTTGCAAGCAGCTCGCTTGTGTGCTAGGAACGTGCCACATACACCACAACCGCGACATAGACGAGTTAAGCATAGGGAATAACAGCCTAGACCAAGAGGTCATGATCGTGGGTAGCCAAAAGTTTCACTGGCCCACCAGAAGGAAATACAAGAAGAAAGAAGCTCTTGACTAAATGATTGCGCAATTTCCAATGCAGTGAGGCTATTGACAATGCACTTCGACGAGACATGACCAACATAAGCTGGTTACCA